TTAAGACTTGGACAAATTTTAATTTCTTCTTCATGTGAAGGATGAGAGTACTTAAATGATCCACCATGGCCACAGATAACCTGGAATTCCAGGAAGACACAGTGACTTCTATGCCCCACTCTTAGTTTAAATTCTTCACCTGGGAGAGGGCACCCCTGGATGTGTGGATAGACTGGGGAAGGAGATGCTGGAAAGCTGTGTCACAGAAAGGGACCTGTAAGACAATGTCCAAAGGAGGGCCATAAGGGTGGTGAAGAGCCTGGAGGGGAAGCCTTGTGAGGAGTGGCTGAGATCATTTGGTGAGTTCAGCCACAAGACTGAAGGAGATGTCACTGTGGCCTTCAACACCCTCACAAGGGGAAGCAAAGGAGCAGGCACTGATCTCTGCTCTGTGGTGACCAGTGAGAGGGGGAATGGCTTCAAGTTGTGTCAGGGGAGGTTTAGGTTGGGTATCAGCAAAAGGTTCTTCCACCCAGAGGGTGTTTGGGCACTGGAACAGGCTCCCCAGGGGAGTGGTCACAGCAGCAAGCCTGACAAAGTTACAGAAATGTGTGGACAATATTCTCAGGCATGTGGTGTGATTCTTGGGAACGCCTGTGGAGGGCCAGGAGTTGGACTTTGATGTTCCCTTTGGGTCCTTTCTAATTCAGGATATTCTATGATCCTACGATTCACTACTAATAAACACAAATTAGAACACTATCATTTTGAGGAACTGCAATTCACAGTTTACACCAGTCTGCAAGAAGTCTAGAATTAAATACAGAAACTTTCCTTAAAAGCACCTTTCAGCAATCACTTCATAGAGCAGATTTTTTCCTTTGAGTCTTCTGAGTGGGAGATGCACAACTGTGATACTCAAATTCTGAGGGATCAGCTTATAAACTGAATGTTCCCACATCTCTGTGGGCCCTGGTGGGATTCACTCTGGAGTACTGAACAGGCCTGCAGCTGTTACAGCAAGACCTCTCAATCATCTATGGAAGGCCTTAGAAGTCTGGGCAGGTCACTGTTCACTGGAATCTTGCCAGCGCAATTCCCATTTACAAAGGCGTGAGGCAAAAAACGGAACTGGAGACTTATTAGCGTAACCTCAGCTCCCGAAAAAGCTATGGAAATACTAGGTGCTACTGGAAGGTGAAAGAACTGTTAAAGAACAATGCAATCATCTCCCACAGTCAAGACAGTTTCACAAAGCAAAATTCTGTTTAACCACCCTATCCTTCTATCTTAAGGTCACCTGCTTGGATGAAGGGAAGGCAGTGGATGCAGCTCGAGTTTGACTAAAGCTGCTAACATTGTCCCTCACAGCATCCTTTTCCAACAAGTTGCCCAGCTGTGAGATGAGCAGGTTCACAGTGCTCTAGCTGGATGGCAGCACTCAAAGGGCTCTATTGAATTGGGCTTCATCTGGCAACCAAGATTTGGGCGCACCATTACCAACTTGGCGAATGATTCAGACTGAGAGGTACTGTGGATGCTCTTTAGGGACAAGAGCCCTTGGTGAGTGATCTAGATAGACTGGAGCATTGGGCAGTCATTAATGGAGTGAAATTTACCAAGTTCAAATGCTGGATTCTGCACCTGGCATGGGGTAATGGCAAGCACAGGGATGAAGTGGGAGAGCAGTGGCTGGACAGCTGCAGAGGGAGGTGGGGCTGGCTGGTGCTGGGCTCAGGGTGGGTGAGCAGTGCCCGGGCAGCCCCGAGGACAGAGCCCAGCCCAGAGCACCGAGCACGGCACAGCCCAGGGAGGGATCTGTCCTTGGGGCTGCCTCTCCTGGGGCTCTGCAGCTGGAGAGGGATGGGAAGGTCCTTGAAGGTGCTCTGAGGAGGGAAACAGAGCTGGTGGGAGGGCTGGAAGGAACTCCCTGTGAGGAGCAGCTGAGGAATTTGGGCTTGTCCAGTTTGGGGAAAGGGAGGCTGAAGGGTGACCCCACTGCTCTCTGCAGCTTCCTGAAGAAGGGAAGGGAATGGGGAGGTGCTGAGCTCTCCTCCCTGTAATCCAGGGACAGCCATGAGGGAGCAGCTCACAGCTGCACCAGGAGAGCTTTCCTGCCCATTAGGAGGCATTTCTGTAAAGAGGGGGTGGTCAGGCACTGGAGCAGCTTCCTAGAGAAGTGGTGGATGGCCCAGTCTGTCAGTGCTCAACAGCATCTGGACAGTGCCCTCAACATTTTGGCCAGCCCTTGGGCAGGCAAGTGACTCAGAATGACTGTAGGTCCAACTGGAAGAGTCTCTTCTATTCCTTGAAATTGAGCAGAGTCTACTTAGACTGTCTTCTTTCTGATGTAAAGCTTAGGCTTTTTATTTTCTCTGCATGTTTCCACATGAAGACTTGATATATTTTGAGATATTCATACTTTAAGATATTACAAGAAAGGTGTGTATGCTAAAAAGAATTGCACAAATTTTTCAACTAAGTGCTGAAATCAATAAAATTCTTATTATTATCATTAGGGAGCATTGAGTAATCTAAAATTGGAGACTAATATTCTTCAAAAACATATCAGAATTTTTCACAGCCATTTTGGCAAGAGAGAACCCTTAAAATGTGACCAATATTGTGTTTATTATGAAAATTTCTGTTTGCTGCTATAAACACTGCAGTGTCAGAACTTCCAAATGGTGTTTGTATAAAGAACTAAAGACTTCAACTGCAAGTGTGATTTTTTTCTCCTCATAAAACAACTTGTTACTTGGAGCAGCTTTTTAAGAATCCATAGGTTAGCTCAGCATCCAGAAACACTTTATTTTTTCAAAATTTATGAGGCTCACCTATGCATTAAGTAGGTAGAAAAACATTTGTTTGTTTATTTATTGTCCTGGTTTCCAAGAAGATGATTTTTTAATTCTGTGAACGGTCACTTCAAATACTGGAAAAAAACTTAAAGACTTGTAAAATCAAATCTTACCATCTTCCCCTGCCACCACATCTCTTTCTCAAATATACTAGAGTGGAACACATGATTTGTAGCACTCTGTAAACACACCAGTAAGGACCTAACAAGTCTGCTTCAAAAAAGTAAGCTCCCTTCAGACATTTTAAGTGACTCTTGTGTTTTCAGCTCAAAATGTTAGATTCCTTCTTATGAAAGGACTACGTAAACACTGATTGCAGTGTGTCTTCACTTCCAGATGTGGCAAACACACATACCATTTATAGAATGTTGAGTCTGTAACTGATAGCAAATTAAACAGTACCTTAAACTTATGATAGCAAAGGAAAAAGGTTCTTTGATCTGTTTTCCATTTTCTCAAAAACACACTTAGGATCAGCTATTAAACTTGAATGTTATTCCAATTATATAACTTCAAAGGAATTGTTCAGGATCTTTAGTCTAAAGATCACCTCAGCCCTGTAATAAAAGATGATTTTAAAAATTCATCTGCATTTGAAAACTGCAGACATACAGATCTTGGTTTATTATTCACTTAACCTTTATACTTAAAAGGAAGTTCTATACATAAGTCCTAAATATTCCCTATAACTGTCATGTAAAATGTAAACACTGTGAGCACTCAAAGGAACTAGAAGATTAGCTAAATTTAATCCACTATTAAACACCAGAGTAAATTAAATTCAGTGTACGTCACATCAATTTTCAGGATAAAAAAATCAATTGAAAACACGGACTTATTTCAACACCTCCACAAAAATGTACAAACTAAAACTACATTAGGTATGTAATTTCTGCAATTAGCACATCTCTGCAATCATTTGTTAATAATCTCTGATATATTTGCTTTATTCTTTTGGGTTTTATGTTATTCACCACAACTTAGGCATTGATGGAGTTCTTTATTACAGATTTATGGAATGACCAACATAAGATTCAAATGTGGACTTTAAGGTGCCGCTCCAATACAAGCCAAAATTGTAAAGATGTTCCTGACCGGATTTAGCAAATTAAGTAATATGATCTCAGAAACTGTGATATAATAGATGCTACCAATTACTTTTTAACACTCTGGCCACAATTTAGATGGACAAAAACTACTAAGATACAAAGACTTGTGGCAGTGTATCTATATGAGGTCTGTATTGATCGACCTATTCAGACACATAAAACACAGGTATACTGTCTAACACAGTCATGGGTCCCCAGGTTCCACTAGAACACTGCTCCTGGTCCTAGAAATCAGAGTAGGACATTTTTTTAAAAAGGTACCTGTCCATGAAAGTACCTTCTCTACTTTCTTAGACACATTACTTCAATTGGATTAAGTCCCCTGCTATTTTCCGGTGCTCCATCTCTCCCTGATCCATCCAGCCTCCCTTAGGCTGGTTTTCAAGCCCTGTTAGAAGGGATTCTGGGCTCCCACGGTGACAGCAAAGCCTTGGGGAGCAAGGCCTGTGCTCCCCGAAGCCGAGGCAGGAGACGGGCCTGGGGGCGGCACACGGTGACTCGCCGGTGCTGCTGACTGACTGCAAGTGGCCATTTTAATCTAGGGGCCTGGGGACCCGATGCTGTCGCTGATCATCCTCCTGCTCCTCGGCGGTGCCCGGCCCGCGGCACACAGCGGGATCGGAACACACACCCGCGGGCGCGGCGGGAGGCTCCGAGCGCAGCCCACGGCAAGGGGCGGGAGCTGCCGGGGTCCCGGCCGGGGAGAGGGGCCCTGGGGGGGCCCCGGGGGGTCGCGGCGGTGCTCACCTGTACTGGGCAGCAGCCCCGCTGTGGGTGAATCCAAAGTAGTTGCCGGTGGCCATTTTGGCATCTTCCCCCAGCCGGCTGGGCACTGCGGCGGCCGAGGGGCGGCGGCGGCGGGGGCCATCAAAGGAGGCCCGGCGAGAGGAGGCGGCGGGGAAAGAAGGGCACACACAGAGGGACAAGGGAGAGAGAGAGAGCGCGGGAGCGCCGGGTCAGACTCGGCGCCTCAGGACCGACCCCCGCCCGCCGCCCTCTCCCCAAGCACGGACACGCCGAGCACCGCTACTCACCATAGGTGAACGAAACTACCGGGCATATGGGAATCATGAGTCCGGCCTGGCAGCGACGGCGGCGGGTGAACTCTCAACTCTCCCCCCCCTCCCTCCTCCTCCTCCTCCCGCTCGCTCCCTTCCCCCACCCACCCACCGACGGCGACAACGGCGGAGTGCGGCCGGGCCGGCTCCGCTTGCGCAGGCGCGGGATGTGCGCGGGGGCCGCTGGGAGACGTAGTCCGGTCGCGGCCGGGTTCGCGCTCAAGGAACAGGGAGCCGCCTCCGCCCCGGGGACCACGTGCGCAGGCGCGGGATGTGCGCGGGGGCCGCTGGGAGCTGTAGTCCCGCTGGCCGGCCTTGGGGAGCCGCGCTGGCGGCGCCCATGGAGCGCCCTCACACACGCAGGCAGGCACACGGATGGGTGCGCGGCGTGTGGAGTCCCGCCGGGCTCCTGCGGCTTCCTGCGCCTGCAACGCTGCGCCAGCCTCACCCACGCAGCGCCCAGCCCCGTGACTTTTCCAGAAGCCCGCAGTCGGTCAGATCGCTCCTGAAACGCGCTGGGCAGCACATTGCGGCCAGTGCCGTGACCTCCCGGTCGAAGGTGTCCGTTCTCCATGGCTCTGCCGCTCCTACCGGCAAATCCTTCCCTCGGAGCATCAGATGTCCTCCAAAACAATGAACAAAGCAAAAATTGAATGCTTAAATACTTTCATCCCGTTTATGTATTTTGCCTGTGCTACGGTGTGCATTATTCATAAACTAATCAAGGCTTATAAAATTATTAATAAGCACTGGATTCAATATAAAGTGTAATTTCGGATATAATTTTGTTTATTGTGAGTTAAGCCTCCTCAAAACACACCTGTTTGGGATGCCCTCCTGCAGTCCTAACAAAAGCAGGGATTCCCACATCGAACAGCAGCTGGAGTCATAGGCACTAGGCCTGCAAGGATATTATTGTTCATAAAATGAGAAGGGGAAAGTACTTTCTCATCTCGTAGCTAGCATTATTGCAGCTGCATATGAAGTACAGCCATTCCCAATGCCAAACATCCTTCCCAATTCACTGAACATAATTTGTTGGTCATTATTATTAATTTTGCATAGGAACTGAATATTACTGTACCTGCTGTTCATTCTTATCCCAAACAAGCACAACGTAAAAGAAATCTTCTTGGTTCTACCCAAAGTGCTTTTCTGGGAAGAAAGTGGCTACTGGGTGAATATTTAATTGCCATAAATTAGGAAAGAAAAACCTTAATCCCCAGTTCCATGGGACAGTACTCAAGGAGAAGATTCTACAGAATCCTTCTGTAGAAGAATGTAGAGGATATGACCTCTGTCATGAAAATGTCAATTGACTCAGGAGATATAAACTATATAAATATCTATATAAATAATATCTATATAAATAATAAATCTATTTATATTTTGTCACTATCCTTACTTCTATTAAAATTGCTCATAATTAGACCACTGGATTATGCTGCTTGGACAAGAAGGCAGCACAAGGTTTTTTTGTTCCACTATCTTTCAAGTGTTTTCAGTTATAAGCCGTCCAATATCCTGATAAATACACAATCTTCAATATACATTTCATTTAAAATATAAGCATCTATACATAGACACAGACATTCACATATCTTTTATCTCCGCATCACTAAAGCTATTTTTTGCAAAGTAAATAGGCCTGCCATTGCTATTCATTTATGAGATGAACTTCATAGAATGACAGAATCAGATTGTCTAGGGTTGGAAGGGACTTTAAAGATCATTTAATTCCAACTCCCCTACCACAGACAGGAACACTTTTCAATTGTCTGGGGTTGAAAGGGACTTTAAAGATCATTTGATTCCAACTCCCCTACCACAGACAGGAACACTTTTCACTAGTCCTGGTTGCTCAGAGCCCCATCCAATCTGCCCTGACCTTTGTCAGGGATGAGGCACCCACACCTTCTCTGGGCAACCTTTGCCAGTGCATCATCCAATCTGCCCTGACCTTTGTCAGGAATGAGGCATCCACACCTTCTCTGGGCAACCTTTGCCAGTGCATCATCACCCTCACAGTAAAGAACTTCTTCCCAATATCCAAGCTAAACCCTCTCCCTTTCAGTTTGAAGCCATTTCCCCCTTGTCCTGTCACTGCAGGCTCTTGTAAACAGCCTCTCTCCATTGTTCCTGCAGCCTGCCTTCGGGTACTGGAAAAGTCACCCCAGAGCCCTCCCTTCTCCATGCTGAACAAACCAAATCCACTCACCCTTTCCTCATAGGAGTGGTGCTCCAATTCCTCTGATCAATTCAGTGATGCCGTTGTGGACTCTCTCCACGGATGAATATCAAGATTATTAATATATACTTCTATTGATACATATTATATTATAATGTTCCAAATAAATTTATTTGAGTTTATTTGGAACATTTTAATATAATGTTATTTACCCTCTTTTCAACTTTGTCTCCATGAAAAACAAACAGAAAAAAAAACCCAACAAAAACCCCAAGGCTTTCATACTCACAACTGAGATTTTTGACTTAGGTTTCATAACTTTCCTTCATCCAAGTAGTTTCTAGTACTTAAAATTCAAAAACCTCACCCTCTATGTTGTGATTTCAGCCCTATATATTTCTGAGCATAAGCTCCCATCTGGCAGCCCAATTCAGCTGCAATTTCAGAAGTTTCAGATTACTTTCCTGTGTGAATTTTTCATTTTGAGTGCATATATTACTTTAAAAATACTATAACACAGTTTATGAGAAGTCATACTTTTTAAATGTGACAAAACAAAAGTTAAAACCCAAGGTTTCCTTTCTCTTTTGGAAAAAACCCCCAAACCACTAGTATTATACAGGTCTTTCCCTCAGCAGTTTCCTATTAAGAACCTGATGCTTCCTGGTGACTCTGTGAACCATTACATAACATCTATTTATGCTACAACTAGCTTGGAGGATCAGATTCATGGTCTATACTTAAAAAACCTCAGTGGATTATAAAACAAGATTCTATCTTCTTAAGACATGTATCAGATTGCTTAAAAATGAAACAGTAATAAATTCAGATTAGGTCCTTAAGGGCATTTTGAACTTTTCTGATTTCTATATCTTTAACTGGAAAGATAATACATGGAGTGATAAAGTGCAAACTGCAGCAACGGGGAGAAAGACAGAAAAGCTTTAGTGAAACATGGAAAAAGTATTTTTTAAATAGGAAAAAGAAACTTCTCTATCCCCAATCCTAATAAGATTACAGAAGAACAGCCAAGAAGTTACAGAATGAAAACATATGCTGGAATACAAATCTTTAATTTGGAATTATGTACAACAGATACTCTGTGTAAAGTTCAAAGTGTCTAAAAATATCACAGGCAAAAATGGCAAGCAAGCTGGCATTCAGGAAAACACATTTTTGACCTTCATTTCAACCATATGAGAAGAGATCTCCAAAATATGGTGAGAAGAAGAAAGCAATACAATAACAAGCAAGTGTCATCAGGCCTACTATTTTACTTTACTATCCCAAGATCCATGTGATAATGTCTCTGCTGCTACCACAGGACTGCAAAACTGCGACTGGAACACAATGGGGAAAACGAAATGTTTTTAAATCTCAAGATTTGCTAAGTACGACTAGGTAAGATTTCTTGGAGGCAACCTTCCAGTTTATGTAAAAGCAGGCTCTCAGCCAGCCTTTGCTTGCCCACCAGAGGGCAGGGCCACGCAGCAGAAGGTGAAAGCTTTCCAACACAGCACAGACCATATTAACAAAAGCTGCTTTTATTTCCTGAAAAGGTAATTTAATACTTAGTGCTCTCATTGTAAATGCTCTAGATAGAAAGGGATTTACAATCAGCATATGGAGACCAGTGCTACCTTCTCACCTGGAAATTATCTCAGATAGCTAGAAAGACAAGACATTCACCAGCTTATCAACCTTCTTATTGCAGAGTGAAATTACATTTTTTTAAGCAGTAAAGACCTCTAATTTTTGAATTATTAAAGCAAAAAAGTGCTACTTTTAACAACAGGGTTTAGACATTGTACATTGACCATAACAGCAGACCTATTAAATCACTCATGAAGTCATTCCTGTTTAGGTTACTAAATTGGAACATAAAAAAGATCCCCACTTCCCAAGCATAATAGAAAGTTATGCAAGTATTGATGCAAACTAAAATTACATGATACACATGAGAAACGAACCAGTTCAAACAAAACCACTGTGTGGTAGCATCCCTTGCTCTTTCTTTCCTGACACTTTAATAAAACTACTGCCAATATTATAAGCTAACCTCCCCTTTCATGCCATATTTCTTCTTCCATCTTTTAAACTAGTAAGCACAAACACCAAAGCTTTAAAAGCTGTCCCACTTAAGGTTTGCCCCAAAATGCTTTTCTTGCTAGCTCTACTATTTCTAGCCAGAGGAGTCATCCTTTGCAGTTAGTAATTGCTATGTGATCAGAAGCACTAGCATGTATTTTTCAGCTCTCCCATTCAAATCTGCATGCTAAAATCTTTTACTGAAGAAAAAACTAATGCTTCAACAATCTTCTCTGCCAAAGACATGTGGGATATGAAATGAGGCAATCAGGCAGTAACTAGAAGAATTTAAGCCCTTTTAAGGCAGCTACAGAAGGAAAGTGTCTGATGAAGAACAAACCCATTACAAAAGTCTATTTTAAGAGCTCAGAAAGTGAACTATACCCCATGGGGGGGATAGATGACTCACTCAGAAGGTAACAGCAGAGATTTACCTTGGAAAAATTATGGCTCCTTTCCCACTGTTCTAAAGAGAGCATTTTTCATTTTTTCTTAGTTGCTTCTTTCTTCTTTTCTAAGTACAACAAAATATAGCGAAGGTAATTCACCAAAAGCTCAACCGCCACTACACTCATTGACCAGAATATTTCTCAAAGAAATTTATTGTTCCTGAAAAGCATAACATGAAATCCCAGTTGCAGCAAACCTTCCCTTCCTCTTACTGACCTGCTATTTAGGAATTCAGCTGTAAAAATAAACTTTGTGCTTGCTTTGGAGGAAATACGGCAGGTGGGAGAAATTAACTCATTAAGAGCCAGCAGAAAATGTTTCTTTTAGTCGGTTTGATGTATGACAAGACTGAAAGAATTGATTAGAAATGCACAAAGAATTGTTGGTTTGAATAAACAATTCCTTGATGATTTGATTAAAACATGAACATTCTTTGTGTACCAAGTGTTGACCTGTAGAAAAGCAAAGCATATATGGATTACAAACACCTGAACTCTCATTATGCTTCTAACATGAAAAATTAGTTGAAAAGAGTAACTATTTACAACTCAATAGTCCTTATTTTGAGATGATCTTGTTGTTGGAGTTAAACATTAAGTGTTACACTATATCTGTTCATCTTCCACAATTACATGGCTTCACAAGCCAGGTGTTGCTGCAGTGGTGATAATTACTATGTTGTCTGCACATCTTTTACTGTGCTTTGACCCCTGTTTGTATAAAAAACTGTATTTTCTTCTTCCAAAGCTCAGAGATGTAGTAAGAATTGTATCTTTTTGTGTTTTTCTTTTCATTTTGTGATCTACATGACATTCTGAAACTCCAAGTTACCACGTCTATTTAGATGAGTACACTTCCTATTTCTGTTATTTCCTACCTGTTTTCCTGCTATTAAAGCGAAGAAGTGAAAGGCATTTCTCACAGCAAAAGCCAGTTTACTTCATGATGAGGGCTCCAAGAACCTCATGGATCCCCTCTGAAAACCTCTTTGGACCTAAGTACTTTTTCAGGAACATTGCTTAGAACTTGCAGCTGATCATGCTGATTTTGGAGGATTATTCCTTCTAGAAACAAGTTATTTGCCTTTCTGGCCTGTATTAATAAACAGAGACCTTTATAATTAAAAAAAAACAAAAAAAAAAAAAAAAAAAAACAAAAACAACCAAAGACTTTTGCTTTTCAACACTTTATTAATAGGTGTTTGTTATTGAAATCATGAAGGCTGATCAACCACTACCTCACTTAGCCTGTATCAATTTTATCTGGTAGTTAGGAATGGGATTATAGTCCATTTCCTATTTTTTATAGTTTGCTTGCACTTTTTACAATAAAGCTTGTACTCATTTGGTAGCAAGAGCATAAGTCTAGAGTTATTAAGAACAAGAAAAAGGACTCAACTGGTACTGGGTGTCTGAAGAATTGTCACTGCTCACAACACAACTACAAGACCCATTGCTGCAAACAGTGATCAGCAAATAGGAGCAAGCTGTGTTAGTTTTGTGTGAATCATGACTGTATTTTAATGTTAGTAATGGCATTAAATTAATTATATTCATTATACATTCATAACATTACATTCATCATAAACTGAAAGGCTCAACAGGTAACAGAGAAGACACAACATGAAGCCACTTTGTGCTCTGACAGCATGCCTGACCTATCACAGTCTGCAAAGGCTGCTAAAAATCACCTCTTGCAAAGCTGAGGGAGAGGGCCCTTTCCTCACCTCCCTTCCATCTCGGTGTGTCTCAGAAACAGAACTTGTTTAGGTGACCTAAGCCCATCAGACCCTCCTCAGCAGGGTGCTCGGGATGCATCAGCGTGTGAACACGCTACAGAAAAAAAACCAACATTGTCAGTATATTTTCAAGGCTATTTGCTTGGACAACTTTTAAAATGTAGGTGTTTAAAAGAGGCCCTGAGACAGCTTCAACCTTCCATCTCCGGTGCTCCAGCCCCGTGGTGCCTGCCCGGACAGGGGCCTGATGCTCCCTGGCCCACAGCTGCAGAGCCCCGCTGTAAGAGAAGGAAACCTGGGGTGCCGGTGGCAGAAAGGGGATCCGGTGGCAAAAGGGGAAGCATCAGGAGGGGAAGCATCAGGAGGGGCCCCGAAGCAGTGCCCAGGTGTGGCGGGGCCGTGGTTCCGCTATGCAAAGCCACCGCAGCCGCACCCCGCCTCACGCCGCTGCCCGGGCGGCATCGAGGAACCGCTGCAGAGCGTGAAAAAAACCTGCTGTTTATGAATTATTGTAGAGGGTTTTTTCTGCCTTGAGAAGACTGAGGGGATACTTCAGAGAATGACAGGATCTATTTGGAAAAGACCTTTGAGTCAACCGAGTCTAACTTACGACTCAATGCCACCGGGTCAACCAGACCATTGGCACCAAGTGCCATTTGTAGTCTTTCTCTTCAGGGACAATGACTCCACCACCCCTCTGGGCAGCCCATTCCAATGTCTCATCGTTTCTGTGAAGAAATTCTTCCTAATGTGCGTCGCAGTCTCCAGCTCCCTCATGAGGGGAAGCAGAGGGGCAGGTACCGATCTCTTCACTCTCGTAGCCAGTGACAGGATTCAATAACGAGTCAGGGGAGGTTTAGAATGGATACCAGGAGGTTTTTCACTCAGAAGGTGGTAGGGCATTAAAACAGTCCCCTCACAAAGGCGGTCACAACAACGTTGTCCGAAGTGTTCGGACAACGCTCTCAGGCACAGGGTATGACTCTTGGGATGTCTTTGCGCAGGGCCAGGAGCTGGAGTCGATGCCCTCTGTGGGTCCCTGCCAGCTCGGGATTTCCCGTGATCCCGTAAAACCTCCTCTCCAGCCCCATGATCCCTTCCCCGCCCCTCAGGGGAGGCGGGAACGGGCGACGACGGGGACAAAGGGCCGCGTCCCCTTTAAAGCCGCCCCCCGCCGCCCCACGTGAGCGGCCCGGGGCGGGCGTTCCGAGCCGCGTCAGTTCCGCTTGTGTCGCGCTGCGGAGGAGCCACGCGCGGAGCAGGACGTGAGTGCTGGGTCCCCTCGCGCGCCCCCGCCACGCCGCCATCTTCTCCCGCACGCCCCTTCCCGCGCCCCCCACC